TTGATGATGGAATGGATAATTTTTCTCCCAATTCTGCAAGGTGATCCTCTGATGATCCTAACTTAATAAATAAACTAGATAGAAAAATTCTGTTATAGTAATAATAATAATAATAAATATTTAAAGTATAAATATTAACGGTTTAACTTAATTGATAGAAAACATAATATAAAAATTTTCCAATCTCTCTAATGCATTCAGTAAAGCATTTTAACGACTACAGTTAAGTTATTCTAGGGATTAAACTATCATACTATTGAAAATATGCCTTATAATTCCATTTAACAAGTCATAATTAATAAAACTTTCGTATAATCACCGCATATTTGTATAAAGAGCGAATTAATTCCGATCGAATTGTTTTTGTCTGTGGTATTAAATTCTAACGGGAATAAATGATTTTTAAATTAGATCATTTAAAATATTTTTGATAATAGATCAGAAAAGAGGAAAAATGGTTTAAAAAATTCTCTTAGAAATCCATATTTCATTCGAGAAAACATGAACGTGTATGAAATATGAAGGTAGATTTGCCAGCAGTTTCCTGTCATTTTGATTTTCTCTTGCACTGAAGAGTTGATGGATTGTCACGACCTAACTTAACTTTCTTTATTTTATTTTATTTTTTATTATTTTTATGTTCGAAACGTATAAGAGAGGGGAGGCAAAATGTAAAAAAAAGGAAACAATTTTTTATTACCGTTGCTGAACACATTATTCATTATTTATTTAATGTTTAAAATAAATTTTAAACAAGAGTAAGCATGCTGTTTTTATCACAAGTCGAGTGAAGAAGTAAAGATTCGATCATATTAAAAACTTGCCCACATTTAACGACAGTGACTCGTTAAAGCGTTGCTCGCCTTAACGAGTTGTAACGGCGCTTTATAAAGATAAATAATAGTTATAAATATAAAATATTATATATTATAAACTGTGTTTTTTATTGTGTAGTTAAATTAATTGGTGTAGTTCGCGATTCATCACGTATCGTTTATGTTAAATCCGTTTCTATGGAAAAAAAGGAGGCGAAGAACCGTCATGGTTGGATGCTCCGACCATTAATCAAATAGGAGAGCAAACCCATAATCAAAAAAATGGTTCCATAACGTAGAATAGATTTTTATTATATTAATATTTTACTCGATTCATTCTATAATAAAGTATAAGTCTCGTAAATAAATGCGGGAAAGTTTTTCCCCCTCTCTTTTCATCTTTTTCCCCTTCTTCTTCCTCTCCTTCAATTAATGAATATTTATTCAATTTAATCTGGGAGATATTTTTAATTATTGGAAAACCGCTACATAATACATAATGAGAAGTTTGTACAGTTAAATCTGCACTTGTACCTAATAACCTCTAAAGGGATTAAATGCGATTATTTTACTGATTAATGGGGATTAACGACTAAATTCTACAACGTGATAATGTGTGTTTGCACGTTTCCATGCGTAAAATCGTTCATTGGTGCATGAATCTGCGTTGATAAGTACCGTAATACACGAAAACTCTATTTATTTCTTAATTCGATAGCGTGGAAAATTCGATAGAATGAAAAAATCCTTATACATTAACGAGAAATTTCGAGTGGATACGAATGAGACTGTAACTAATTCTGTGTGTGTGTAAGCATCACTATGCCAAGAGTTGGAAGAAGTTCCTCCCCCCTTCTTCTTCTTCTTCAAGTCAGAGAAAAAGTTCTTTTCTATTTGTTAGTCTTCGCCCGCTAGGGAGGTTTGGACGTGCGATGGACGTGACCATGGTGAATCACACGTCACGCACTGACGAAAAAACATCAGCCCGCTGCAAAACTTTGACACCAAAGTCGGCAAACTTCGTTTTCTGATGCTGTGTGCCACCACCGACACCGATCGCCCCAACATCGGGCTTAACTCTAAGCCCAAAGTCAGCAAGGTTGGCGGCAAACTAACAGTTTGGTGATTTAGAGGAGACGGTCGAATGTCTCCAGACGTGACTTGTGTAAAATCGTGCATCAAAGATGGTGTCGGATTCCGTTTAGATAGGTGAAAGACGAGAACGGTGATGTGATTCTCTTTAACTAACATATACCGGCTTTTCATCCCCCTCATCTCTCTCCTCCTTCTCCTCCTCCTCCCCCCTCTTCTTCTTCTTCTTCTTCCTTATACTTATTTTTTATTCCCGTCTTCCGATAATAATTTGAACAAATTGGTAACAAAAGATATCACGGATTTCTCTAGTCGATTTTTCTGATCTCATTACTTCTATGTTCTCGTTATACATTTGCTTGTTATCTACCTTTTTTTCCTCTTCCATATTGCTTATTATTGATATCGAGATTATTGGCTATTCTCGTGAAAATTTCTATCTTATTAATGAACTAAGCATTTTTTTTTAAATATTTGTAAGCTCCGTTCTTTTCTCTATTTTCTTAATGCTCTTTTTTTTATTAATTACGTTTAATTTTTATAACTTTTAAGCTGTAATTTTAAATTTTAAAATTAATAAAACATTCATAAAATTTTTTTTTAATTTATATATTTTAAAAAATCTTTAGAGGAAATTTACTATAATTACGCCTTTCTCTGGCCTGTTACTGATGCAACTAATTTAAATTTATTCGTATAAAGTACATCTTATTCGTACATGTATAATCTTTATTTATCTTGTTTATATGTATGTATATAGCCTAATTTATAGCCTATATATTAGAATTTACATAAAATTCTCTTGTTCGGAAGCGACTAACAACTCTTAGTCTCTTATTTATTAATTAAATAAGTATCAAAAAAACTTATTATAAATTAATTTTTATAAAGTTCCCCCGACAAATTTCCACTTTTCGAATATTAATTTAGCTAAACACGTCTTTTAGTTTAATATTCTTGTCGCCAAACATGTAACACATCTTAAACATTCTCTTCACTAATTTTATAGAATTCGTAATCCGTTCTGGAGATTTAATACTCTACAAGGAGATAAATTATAAATTATATATGAAAAAGCAACAATTTTAATAATAATATTCATTTTTCTTTACTTTAAACGTCATAAAATATGTTTCTAGTATGTAGGAGTCTCCTATAAATCCTTCAGAACTTATAATTCATTCTAGTGATTTAATACTCTAAAAATAGGATAAATTATACTTTATATATAAAAAGAAAATAATAATTTTAGAGGATTTCATGTAGAAGTTTTCTTTATAATCTTATAAATCCAAAAGACTTTATAATCTGTTCTAGAGATTTAATACTTCGACATCAAAAGTATCTAATACTTCAGAAGGTAAAAATTATACTTTATATATAGAAAAATCAATATTTAATAATAATATCCAATATTTGTACTTTAAATATTATAAAGTAAGTAATAAATTACTATAAACGATAGTTACTTTATAACTAATAACGAAGTATAGATTCTTTAAGATTTATAGTAATTTATTTACTTACTTTATAATGTTTAAAGTACAAATATTGGATATTATTATTAAATATTGATTTTTCTATATATAAAGTATAATTTCTACCTTTCTAGAGGATTAAATCATCTACGTTTACATAGATTAGCTACTTTATAACTATTAACGAAGTATACAACCTATGTAACCGTAAATGATTTAATCCTCTAGAAAGGTAAAAATTATACTTTATACATAGAAAAAAAAAACATAATTTTTAATAATAATATCTAACGTTTTTTACATTAAACATCACAAAATCAACTCCTATTATAAAAGATGTTCGTCCATAAAAATAACTATCGCGTATAACGAAATCCGATCACATATACGTAATACAAAACTTTGAAGAAAATATCGAATAACTTCCGAATAATATCTCGGAATATCTAAAATTTCGCCTAGTTGCAGAATTTATTATTATATATTTTCCCTCCGCTTTCCTCCCTCCAAAGATTATAAACATCAATCAATCAAAATGGAGGACGGGGGGAGCGAAAGGGGAAAAAGAAGAGGAAGATGGAGACTAACATGATTAAAATCTTGTAATGTTGAAAGCTTTTGCTGAATTCTTTCATGCATATACTTCATTCGAATGTAATTATATCTGACTCATTAATAAGATCATTTATACAATGATAATATCAATATTAATTCGCATGGATCGTATATGAATTTATACTAGCTGCTACAAATGACAAATGCCTAAGCAGATTATTAACATTAAGGAATATTATAATTTACGAATGGTGCATTTTCATTAAAGATTTTAATGTAGTCTCTCTCGTCATAAAAATTATTAAAATTTATTCCTTAAATATATTTAATGCTCCTTCTTAATGTTATTTATTATATAAAAAGTCGCGACTTCTCTTTTTTATTTAGAAAATAATTCGCTTGTCGTCGCTCCATTGATTCTGATTTATATAAAAATTTACACGGGAATATATTTTTCTCTCGGTTGTTTTAATTGGTGGAAAAATGTGCACGCATTCATGTTTTGGTTATTTGAAAAAAATCATATTTTTATATTAATTATGTTTCGATTAATCTGATTAGTACGTGATGTGAAAAATGAGTGTGTTTATTGTTAGGAATCCGTTTAAATTATTCTGATTGGTAGATAGATATGTGATGATCTGTTTTGAGTATCCTGATTGGTAGAAATTCATTCGTGTTTCAATTAGGATACTCGAAACAGATTTCTGTATCATTTTCTACCAATCAAATAAATTAAAACACATATTTTTAGATTACGCATTTCTACTACTTTGATTGGTAGAAAATGATACAGAGAAATCCAATTCGATTACTCTGATTGGTAGAGATGCATAACGTAAAAAAAATATATCTATTTCATGCACTTTGATTAGCAGAATTAATTTTAATAGTTTAAAGACGAAAAATACGTGTATAAGCCGTTTTAATCGGAAGATAATATGTAGAAAAACAAGGAACAACGCGTAAAAATAAATATTCTAAATGATAAATGTTTAAAATTAAGTTTCCGATTTGATTTTCTTTATCTTTTTCTACGTTTCTTTTTACTTATTTTCAGGTATAAAATACCAGAAAAGCATGTCTACTACTACAAATGTCCCTATCACAGGAACAACTATGTCTTATCTTTCGCTTTTGCATTCGATAGAGAAGACGATGTTTACCAATTTGCATTTTCTTATCCTTACACATACTCACGCCTTCAGAAGTACTTAGAATATCTTGAGAAAATAAACATGCCTTTTCTGACTCGAGAAGAAATTGGAAAATCTGTTGTGAGTATTTGCACCCTTTTCTTTCTTTCTTTATTTTTTCTTCGTCTTCTTCTTCTTCAAGAGTAATTTAATCTTTACCGAAATTTGTGTTCCTTTAAGTTAGATTATAGTACGGTATCGAGGGAAAAGCTGAGTAGGTAGTTTAGTTTTGTGCTGTAATTAAATTAGTGTAAGTAACCTTCAAACGAAACTTTTAAGTTAATTGTAAGAGCGACTATTGCGTTTCTACATCTATCAGGCGAGAGGAGTTCTCCTATGTGATGCGGGAGGGAAAAAAATTCCAAATATGTTAATCGAAATAGTTAAATCAAAGATAGTACTGTACACAGATCAAATTAAAGATAGAAATTAACAAAGTATATCATTTTTGTACGCATAAAACTATTGAAAAGTAATATTTTCTTAGACAACAGATCGATATTTCAGTAGCCAATTGTTGTACTTCTATCAATTATCATTTATCAACCATTGATTTCATTACTTATCTACATAATCTAAGCTTAAATATACAAATTTTAATATTTTAAATGTATTAAAATGTGATAAATTTGTATGTTGATAAATGGTAATTAGTAGAAGTGTAATTAAAATGGCTACAAAAATATCGATTGTTGCTATGAATAACAATAAGATAACATTAATTTTTAATTGTTTAATATATGTAAAAATTATATAATTTGTTAATTCATGTCTGATTTATTACGTTTTAGAAAAATCCTCATCCTTGATTTAACTATGATTTAAATACAAATTTGTAAGGTTTATATCGCCGTACAGAATGAATGAATTAAAATTTCTTATAATTTTTAATTAATTTTTTATATTTCATATATATTTAGAAGCATATAAAAGAGCTTGCATCAGATTTAATGATTAATTTCTGCATCAGTGACTCGAATTAATGTTATCTGTTATAATCTATGACAATAACATGTAGAATTTAATTCTATATTAATATTTTTACATAATTATCATGAATTTTTCAATTTAATGATAATTATAAATTTGCATATTTATAGTTTAGTGTCAAATTGTTATTTTATGATCGATTTAAATTAGCGAAGCTCGTTTAAGTGAATCGAAACATCGAAATTGCTCAATTCTATTGTAATATTTTTCCAATTTGAAGTGAATTTGTTTTGTCTAAATACTTACGTCAATTTGACGTCATTCTTCTCTAGTTTTCTTATGACGAAGCGTGATAATGACGTCAATTTGACGTAACTATTTAATCAGAACGAATGCATCTTTAATTATTGTCGTAATTTTTAATTAATTAATTAAAATTCTTTTCTATTTTATTAAATTTACATAATTTGTTTTCTATTTAACATCGCTCCTACGTATAATCTTTGTTAAATCAACAGAAAAATAAAGAAAAAGAAGCATTTTTATCCCAATAGAATCTTTAATTTGATTGAATTTCGCATTCAATTATTAAAATCGATTATAAAAATGGTTTTTAAAAAACGAAAAAATCCGAGAAGATTCGTCAAGCATCGGACCTTAAACCAATTTTCTATATTTCAATCATTAAAAAATATTTTAAAAAATTGTATTTCTTTGGTAGAATAATTTTACTTCCCAAAGCGATTTTATTGGATATAAATTCTGAAAGCAATTAAACATTTTCCTTTTTGGAAAATCATTTAATCTTACGAAAGAGGAAAAAATCCAAAGGATAAATATTTTTAAGTATCATAGCTTTCTTTTAATACCATCTGCTATAGCGAATTCAACAAATATAATGAAAATCAATCTATTTTCTTCTAAGCTGATAACACTGATTTTCCTCCTCTTCCTCTTCTTTTTTTTATTTTAGGAAAATAATAAAAGGAAGGGTTCAATTATAATAACAAATCTTTGTTGGAGATGCTTAAAAACATCAAAAAAGAGGCTTAATTTTTTTACTTATATTTATTTTAAATTCTCGACTAAGCCAAGTTGATATTGTGCTCTCTTTACAGATTTATTCTAGACCATTTTTCAAGCCCTATCTTAAAGATACGTTTAGTAAGCAAACGTGATATTTTTAACCATTATTCCTTTCTTTTTTACAGTCTAAAGTAGCGATACTTCGATCAATTTTATCTGCTCCAATTCCTTATTCCACTCCAAGTGAAAGTTGTAAATCGTTCTATATCTGATGAGAAACGTGAAGAAGGAGAATGAGAACTTATTTAACCTAAACGCCATTTTTTTTTCTCACACGTGAAGAAGAGACTCTTTTTTTTATGTAATACTATTTAAATATTATTCGGCCACTTTACCGAATCGAAAAATTTGATGTGGCTTTTTATATAATACTAAAAGCTCTTAGAAAAATCCCTATGCGGTTTATTTAAGAGGAGAGGAGGAAGAGGAGGAGGAGAAAGAGTGAGAGAGGAAGAAAAAAAGATACCACAGATCGAGCAGTCTTGTATGATGTGTATATTTACCATCGAAATTTATGTAAGTCTCTAAAGTTATATGAATGGTTTGTTTGTATTTTGAAGAGCAGACAGATAACTCTCGGCTCTACTCAAACAACTGCGTGTGTTGACTCAGTTGAACCCATCCTAATTTGTTTCTTGTTTAATTTAAAGATCAGAAACAATTTTAGGATAAGTAGTAAGAATGTAAAGACGTTTTACCTAACGAGAAAGCTCTCCTTTTTTCCCTTTTTTCTTTTTTTCCTCTCTCCTTTACTCGAGAGGCAATTTTCACACTAAGCTTATTATAAGATTAATTTTCGGTCATTAATGAAATTTGTTTATTTTTAGTTACGCTAAATTACATTGAGTGTAATAAATAGGTGTAAATTATGGTCTAACGCGTGCTCTCTCTCTTGGCTTTTAAAAGAATTTCCAACCTCGACACTATTTATAATTTAAATAAATGATAAATAATCTTCTCTCTGTTATCGTCAAAATGCAGGGATTAGTTTACGCACTTATAAGCCTAGAAAATAAACTGTTTTACGTGATGCCGCATTGGTCACTCTGTTATATAGATTTCTGTATAGGTGCACACCACGCTCTTCTCTTTTCGTACACTACAATGTCCTAATTTAAATGCGGGGCTTTTAAAAAAAGGTTTAACTTATAGCCGAGAACTAAGTTTCTCTCTACCAACGTCTCTTCATTATTTAAACCGATGATTTGGAGCCTTCATCGCAGGCTGTGCTGCTCTTTCTCGTTTAATAGAACTTGATAGGTCTTGATTTATGGCTCTTAGAAAGTGAAATTTGCCGTTCAGACCCGGGAAGAGTCCTGGTCGATTGGCTGAATTAGGTCAGAGTAGGTGGCACATTGAGTGACCTACTTCTGGTGCATCCAGTAGGAAGGATCTTTACGATCATTGGCAGACGGGTTATAAAACTAAATAAGCGAGGAAATTTATTAAAAAACAGCAATATTTATTGTCTTATAAAAGTACAAAAGTTTCCAAAAATCTATTGCACACACNGTATATAAACATGCTAACAAAAAGTTATGTGCAACATAACTTCTTTGTTTTTACTTATTCTTATATGCGACACTATTTACAGGATTAATAATTAGAAATATATTATTTACTATATGAAAACATGCTAATTACTTACATACAGTGTGCACATTGTATTCACATGCCTAGCAACGTTTATATTTAAATCGATAATTTTTATTACTAGTTCTATAAATGGAGTGATGCTTTATGTACATTATGCGTATAGGATACATTCAATTATTCCTATACATAGCAAGTAGAATTTATGCACTAACTAATACAATAGGCCCATTTTAAATGTATAAATAAACCTACTTTGACACTAATTGCTACTTAAATATTCAAGAATTTTAACAATACCAGAATTAACTTTATCTGTAATTCTAATTAACAGAAGAATTTTCTTTTTCAAACAAATTTAGAATTAAATCTAAATATTTACATCCATTAATTAACAAAAATCTTTATTTTTAAGTTTATTCAATATTTTAGGATTCATAAATTGCCCATCAAGGTGGCCCAAAAGTCAGTTGACCCTATTTTGCCTTGAACAGCTAAGAAACTGGAGAAACGGTTTCAAAGCATTACAATTTGTCTGTCGAGCAAATGTTTTATTTAAAACAATTTTTGCAGTTTGTAAGCAATAAAACATTTGAGTAAGGCGAACAATGCGGTCTTCATTAAGGTTAACCGACTATTGGGCCATTCTGTAGCCAATGAATACTTTTCCAAAATATGTAGCAATTGTGATTAAGTTTGTGAGAAACAACAGATTTTTTTCTTAAAAAATATAAATAAAATCATTCATAAGCAATGTTAAATAAATTTCCTTATATGTGAAAAATTAATAGTCTAATGTTGCTTAACAATTTTATGAATCAACCAGAATTTTCCAAAGAAATTTCCAGTCCAAACAAAATTTATTCAACCTTTTAAAAATCTATTTATAGTAACTAATATCCAATAAATTTTATAGAATACTAAATTAAAAATTTACCTGCCAAGCATCATGGATTTATAGGCATTTATAATATATATCGATTGCCATCATAATTTAAGTTATTATTAAAATAATAATAATATTTGAAAAACTCGATTTACTTCCATTGGAATACTTAATTAATTACTAATTTGTACTATAAAATGTATGCACATGATGTATATAGGCATGTAAATATAATACATTTTACAGTTCTGTTTATATAAAAGGTTACAAGAAAAATACTTGGTCACGTAACAGGATTTATATCCAATCAGACGTCAGACATCTGTCTGGCTCTCTTTTTCTTTCTCTTCTTCTGCTGGCATGCTTGTAACTTTTTCTAAAGGAACCTAGAGTAGAATGAAATGAGGATTTTTTATATATATATGTACAGTACGTATGTATGTATGTATGTATATATATATATGTATATATATGTATATTCAGAATAGTGAAGAAAAAGAAGGGCCTATCAATTTACGTAAAATTTTCTAAATAAAAATTCTCCAGTAAGAAATCTATAAAAGAAAATTCTGTTTAAAAATGTATATTTTTTAACATTATAAATGCATAAATTTTAATGAAATTTATTTAGAAGCATTTTTATCCCAATAGAATCTTTAATTTGATTGAATTTCGCATTCAATTATTAAAATCGATTATAAAAATGGTTTTTAAAAAACGAAAAAATCCGAGAAGATTCGTCAAGCATCGGACCTTAAACCAATTTTCTATATTTCAATCATTAAAAAATATTTTAAAAAATTGTATTTCTTTGGTAGAATAATTTTACTTCCCAAAGCGATTTTATTGGATATAAATTCTGAAAGCAATTAAACATTTTCCTTTTTGGAAAATCATTTAATCTTACGAAAGAGGAAAAAATCCAAAGGATAAANTTTAATTTAATTTAAAAAAAATATATATATATATACCCTAATTATAAAATTCTTTTAAAAACATAAATCTTTATATCTTAGATTATTATGTTAGCCTATGTAAACATGATAGTTTATTTTATGCACAATGACATGTAATTGGTCCTATCAGGCTCTACGAGGCTCCACGAGGGTTATCGGACCTATTAGAGAAAAAAAAAAACTGAAAAAATTGTCCGTTTTCTGTGTAATAACTTTAGTTATAGACTAACATTTACACTAGATTATTTTTTACTTCTATATCATTACGTTATTTAGTTATTTGTAAGAAAGGGGATCAAAATGGTCTTTGCACCAACAGCTTTCCATGCTTTCGGGGGACGCCCTGTCCCCTATAAACTACTATTATGCATATAATCAAACTTCGATATAACACCATCCTCGTATACAGTCAATGAACATCCCCGAACAGATCTTTCTCATAAATATTAGATTATCCTTCGTTATCTCTGAATTGCTAAATGTAGGATTTTTGCATTGCAAAGGACACTTTTATCACCAAATCACGCGACTTTCAAATTCTAAACTTGAGTGTAGACCTCATTATTTTAAATAGTTTTTATTGTTTGAGATCCTTTGGTTTAGCATTACTTTAGTTTTTCTGTTAATTTCAGAGCCGAACAAATGCTGGTGCTATATAAAGGTTTCACCGTATATAAACATGCTAACAAAAAGTTATGTGCAACATAACTTCTTTGTTTTTACTTATTCTTATATGCGACACTATTTACAGGATTAATAATTAGGGATATATTATTTACTATATGAAAACATGCTAATTACTTACATACAGTGTGCACATTGTATTCACATGCCTAGCAACGTTTATATTTAAATCGATAATTTTTATTACTAGTTCTATAAATGGAGTGATGCTTTATGTACATTATGCGTATAGGATACATTCAATTATTCCTATACATAGCAAGTAGAATTTATGCACTAACTAATACAATAGGCCCATTTTAAATGTATAAATAAACCTACTTTGACACTAATTGCTACTTAAATATTCAAGAATTTTAACAATACCAGAATTAACTTTATCTGTAATTCTAATTAACAGAAGAATTTTCTTTTTCAAACAAATTTAGAATTAAATCTAAATATTTACATCCATTAATTAACAAAAATCTTTATTTTTAAGTTTATTCAATATTTTAGGATTCATAAATTGCCCATCAAGGTGGCCCAAAAGTCAGTTGACCCTATTTTGCCTTGAACAGCTAAGAAACTGGAGAAACGGTTTCAAAGCATTACAATTTGTCTGTCGAGCAAATGTTTTATTTAAAACAATTTTTGCAGTTTGTAAGCAATAAAACATTTGAGTAAGGCGAACAATGCGGTCTTCATTAAGGTTAACCGACTATTGGGCCATTCTGTAGCCAATGAATACTTTTCCAAAATATGTAGCAATTGTGATTAAGTTTGTGAGAAACAACAGATTTTTTTCTTAAAAAATATAAATAAAATCATTCATAAGCAATGTTAAATAAATTTCCTTATATGTGAAAAATTAATAGTCTAATGTTGCTTAACAATTTTATGAATCAACCAGAATTTTCCAAAGAAATTTCCAGTCCAAACAAAAATTTTAAAAATCTATTTATAGTAACTAATATCCAATAAATTTTATAGAATACTAAATTAAAAATTTACCTGCCAAGCATCAAGGATTTATAGGCATTTATAATATATATCGATTGCCATCATAATTTAAGTTATGCACCACTTCTTCTATACTAAAAATGAACTTCTTAAAAACTAAGTAATGAATCTATACTCCATTAGAAATATCTTATTTACTGACTAACACCGCTAGCTCTTCAAACCATAAAGTCGAACAATAGATTAGATAGGCACTATGAGTCAAATTGGTATTTTCTTTCTCGCCTCATAAATTCACATTTAAGGATTTTTTTTCCTTTTTTTCCTTAATTTTTTCCCTTTTTAATTTAGGATTATAAATTAGAAGAGCCAGACACTGTCTATCCGAGACGCCATTATACTACTCGATGCACAGAATCAATTTTCGGTTTTTAAATGGCCAATCTGTCGAGTCATTCAAATTGCTTAATGACTTGGAATATTCTAGAGGAAAAACTCAAGCAGATACTTTTTTTTCTTTCCTTCTATCGACTCAATTATTCTAAAGAATTTGGCTTTCAGATACTTCACGCTTAAATCTTTTATCAATTTAAGTTTAATGCGCTTTTCTTATTTTGAACATTGAACATTTTTAAATGCAAGATGTCTGAAAGGATTTTTCGCTAACGTTTAGGATATTTGTGCTCTTTGAAGCATTCTTAAAGTTATTTGCAAGATGCCGTATGTATACTTTGTCTATTTTTAATCGTTTCTCTTCGATTTAGCATTTTATACACGTAAGAATTTTGTATATATCTTCTGGAAATTTAAGCTTTTAAAAAGCGAACGGTTTCTGAATAAAATAAGATTTTTTTTCCTTTTTTTTTATAGAAATCTCCAACATATTTATCCATTAGAAATTGGCAAGATTTGTATTCCCTATCGATTTCGAAAAAGAAAATTTTACTAGTAAAGAGAAAAATTAGATTTTAAAAGTAGAAAGTAGACTCAATAAAATAAGCTTGAAAGTTGCCTTTCTCATACATTGGATCGTGTGTTCTCTAAGGATTTAAGAATCTTCAAATTATATATAATGATACTGCCTCAGATTTAGACTAATTTTTAAAGCTTAAACTATTTATTACAGCTTTAATATCAATAAATATAATTAGGTATATAAACAGGCCCTTTTTACAATGGAATCATTCAGCTGAATAGTTTTTAATTTTTGTCAGATTTTATTTTTAAAATATACTACAATTTTTACAATGTCTTTCTTGAATGCAGGAGGCTTGAAAATAATAACAGTAGGGCCTCTGTTATGGTATATGGTATCAGAAAAGCCCTACTTAAAGTAGGATAAAAAAATTATTCATCAAATTGCTAATTTCTTTCTATTGTTTAACTCCTGCAATTTAAAATCGAAAATATACAACACATGAAAAAGATTTTAAGCATTTTCAGTTACTATAAACATATAACCTTGTATCTACAATAAAAAAATAATAAAAATATAATTATAATCAATAAAATGTAGAATGTCCAGCAGCAAAAATTGCAACTGTAATACAAGGAACAGTTTTAAATTTAAGTTATAACTAATTTTAAGAAATTATAGCGTAGATATCCATTGGGAAAAGATGGCCAATATTTGATTAGCAATAAAAATTTCAAAATATTGCTGTAAATGTTGTTACTGCAAGCTAGAAAATAAAATAAAAGTTTATTTGCACGCAAGCAGAATCACTTACAACCAATTTTGCATCACTTCTACGAGCATCTCTCATGTAATGCTAAAATTTTAATTAAATTTCCTTTATTTACAGTTAAAATAATCGTTATTGAGAACTTCTATTTAAATTTAAATAATTGGGGGAGAATTTTAAGTAAAAAATTAATCATTACCTCCACATCATATACATCTTTACGTGATCTGGTTGATGGTCTTATGTATATTAAAGGTTTAACTCCTGGTGCAATGGGATAGAAACAAAACAATCCACAATAGATTCCTTGAATGATGATAGCAGCTAAGATCCTGTACAGAAATATGAGAAACAAGCATTATTTCAATATACAAATCAGCAGGGAAAAAAATCTGAGCGAAGAATCTCTTACGTATATATAACAATTATTAAGAAAAATAGGAAATTTTCTATTCGAAAAAAACGTTAAAAAAATGTTTAAAAAGTTGTTCCAACATCATTTAACATCTAGTTAATTGCATTTCGCTTTCAATCTTATCGACTCGGATGCTTCAGAAATCCTTCTGGAATTGCTTATCTGAATTTAAAATCTTCACTGTTTACTGACAAAAGACTTTGGTATAAAGTAAAATGCCAGGAGATAAATTTAACTCTAGGAGAGAGTAAATCGGTTTTAAAAAGTTTTTTTTTACGTCACAATTAGTCATTTTGATCCCTTAGGATGGTTCAAAACAGTTTAATTAAGTTGCACCATCTGATAGACAGATTTTAGGAAGGGGGAAAAAAGGGTATAGATGCTATCTTATTGTAAGGTTCACAATGTTATCTATCAAAATCTTGAAAGTAATTAAAGAAAAAATATATATATTAGACTTTAAATCGATTAATAAACATATAAAATTTATAATTTACACTAGAATTTTAGTCGAAATTCTTATTTTTCAATGCGTTTATGTACTGTACACCATACAGAGGAGTTGAACTATCCACACCTTTGAACCTTTAAAATGCTGACATTAACATTATTTATACTTGTATACAGCAGAAATTTGAACCGAATAAACAATTAAATTCCCAATCGAACATAAATCGCTAATACAACGACAAATAATTGAGAGTTATTCGAAGAATTTTGCTCATAAGAAAAAATTACGTGAAGAATTCAAGAACATGCAAGTTTGAAGATACAAATCTTTATCAAAAAGAAATTTTCGTTACGATCGTTAGGAATAGCAAAAATAGGATAATGGAACAAAACACTTACATAACAGCTAACAGACAGACGACGTACAGTTCCATTGCCTTATCCAAATTTTGAGAATTATCACAAGTAGTTGAAGCTTATCCAATTGTATGGAGCAATACCGAAGGCGATCACAAGCATCTACAGATGTTAGAAGGCTGATAAAAAGGAATATCCTGAAATAATACGGGCATGTAAACAACAGTACAGGTGTGGTCGACGACGAACAGGTAAAGGGGCTCTAGATGCGGTTATCGATGTGAGGCTCTCGAGTAACGATCACGCTACGCTAAATCGCCACTTTTTCCCCCCTTCATTTATTTTCCACACATGGTTAAAGAATTTAGAATTGCATTTTCCGTTCTACTAAATTAATATAATATTTAATTATTTACGAATGTAATATTTTAAAATTTGTTATAGCACACGTGGCATTTTTACATACGTTGACACCTGAAAGGCGTGGGATATGTTGTAAACATTCTTGTTGAATCATCGCATATTTTAAATATATATATATTTAAAATTAAATTTATAAAAGAGAGTGATGTCTGTGGCTTCTTTTATGTTTTTGCAAATTTAATGGTGAAAAAAATTTTTTTCCTCTTAAAAATCCAAATTATTTATAAATTGTCGTAATGGCCAATTGTAGAGTTTAAAAAAAATAATAGTAATTGGCTTATTACCAAAATTATAAAGTATTTTTATCTAAAAATATATTTTTTGTTTAGTCGTAATAATCTCTTTTTAAATAGATTTTTTTTTTTTGGATGGTTTCGTATTACGTTTCGCTCTATCTTCCATGTACTGTATTTCTATAGATTTCTGTATTTTTTCTTCGAAAATTCGATATAATGGAAAAAAGGCATTAAAAATATATTTTTTAAAACGATTTATCAAATTTATATGCTTAATAATAATAATAAATCGAATTTATGATGATACGTATGCATCAGTATGAAATTATACTAACGAACGAGGACGTGGGTTCGATTCCCATTAAAGATAAATTTCAATGTTTGGATCCGTTTCTTTGAATGGGTATATTTATATATTATACAATATAGTTTGCTTATTTATTAATCAATTAGTATACAGTAAAATCAATTTAATAATCATTTTAATTATGATTATATATAAGTTATATGTATTTGAATTTTCAGCAAGGAAGACGTCTTGATATGATCACCATTTTTGATAACAAACTACTAGAAGAAAGCAAATGGCCCGTGAAAAAGAAAAGGAAAATAGTGATCATCACTGCCCGTGTTCATCCGGGAGAAACTCCTTCATCTTTTGTTTGTCAAGGTTAGTTTTATTTTCCTTTCTACTAGAAAGCCTGTTGACTGCAACACTGTGCAAATATTGAAATACATCATTAAGTTACTTTTTGCATTTTCAGGATTGATTGATTTCTTGGTAAGTGATCATCCCGTGGCTCATTGCTTGAGGGAAAGAGTTATGTTCAAGATAATCCCAATGCTCAACCCGGATGGAGTCTTCGTAGGTAATTATAGGTGAGTTTAAACTCTCATAAAATAGGTTTTCAATTACATTTTTCTTACTTTTTATTTGCCGTTTCGATATACTTTTCCATCAAAAATGGAAAAAGTCACAACCGAGACAGAATGAAACGTGATAAAAAAAATTAAGATTAATGGAAGCATTTACTGGCTTCTTTTCTTGATTGTTTTTGTTGTAGTCAAGAACAGATCGCTAGAGTATAAAAGCAAAGAGAGAAGACGAAGAGGAAAAAAAGATTTCTTATAAGATTTATTTTTTTCTCTGATGGAATCGAAAAAAAAATCACCTCATCTTGGTAAAACTGCAATTTCTTATTCTTGCCAGAAAATCAATTACTTGGGAATTTGAAGAGATTCTTAAAGTAAATGGCTAATACATGAAAAGATTGCTTTAATTGTGCTACGATAATGTTCTTCTATCACCTAACCTGTTTTGAAAAAGTACATATTTTTTCCCGTTCCATCAGAAAAAAACAGCAAAAAAATCTATAAAAGAAATCTTACATTATTCATTTTCCCACATTTATCTAATAACTTTCCATTAAATTAATTCAAATTTGTAAATTGTCTGGTACAAAGATTACAACTTGACTCCCAAAGCCTTTTAAAGAAGAGGAATCAGAAAGACAACAAAAGAACAAAGAAGAAAAAAAAAATTCATTGTCACGTCTGACTGAACAAGTTCAGTGTCTGTGAAATAGATTTTTTTTTTTTATAACTTGGCCCTATGTCTGTATCTTCTATAGAACCTCCCTTTTGGGCACAGATTTGAATCGATGTTGGCACGAAACATCTCCTCTGGCTCATCCGACGCTGCACGCCACAAAGAAGCTGGTAGATAGACTGATGATGAAAAAGGTAATATAATGGCTTTTCTATCTTCTACTACCTCTTGAAATTTAATACAATTTAATGAGAAGCTACTTAGGGCCATTTAGAATTTCAGCTGTTACTGATTTAGTAGTCGAGTCAGTAACAGCTGCCAATGTTCATTTAAAGATTTCTCTCTCTCTCTCTTGCTCTCTCTCCTATTGCTAAATAGGTAAATGTAATTTTTCTCTTTTATTTTGTATTTTTGACACACATTATCCGGAAACCAATAGCTCGGACATAGTCGAAAATTTAATTTAGTTTCTAAGTAGCGCGTCGGAGCCATCGACATGACACTTAAAATACAGTTTCGCCCGTATAATCGATCGGTATTTAGCGTCACTTGTATATTAAAACACGTAAAACGTTTTAATCTCTTACGAATATTCATTATTAACAGAGAGGGGCGACATTTTTAATCGAAAATATCTAAAATAAGATGGATTTTTATTAAAAAACTGGATTAGAGAATATCAGGAAGTGGATCAGAGTCATCAGTCATTCTTTGTAGAGTGTTGCTCGTATGCCTGTAAGTATCAGCCGGCAACAAAGCTGTGTTAAAACGATAATATTCCTTTTAAAACAAACTTTTTATTATAAATAATCGATTATTTGTAAAGATAAAAAGAGAGAAAAATACAAGAAGGGGGAGGAATAAAGGAAGATTATACGTTTGAGTATGTTAACGCCAAGAGATAGCTTGTTTGGGCAATGTCAAGATAAACGAGGTTGCTTTGAATAATGATTAATAATAGAACATTTTAAATCATTTATTATGAATCTTTCGCTTAATAAAATACAATACTTTGATAGCTTTTAAAAGTAAAGATGGATCGATTCGTAACGGTGGCTTTGTAAAGTTCAGATGTCATTTTAATAATAAGCTTTAAATGAAAAACTGCTTGTGCAAAGACCCGTTCATGAATAATGAAATCGTCTTAAATATTCTTCTAGTTTACTCACTTATACCAGGAGCACCATTATTTTGGGAGGTCCTGGCGATACTAAGTCACCAGATTCACTTTCTTCCATATACCATAAGGTCTGAATATAGGAAATCGAAGAGATCGAAATACCGATTGTCAGAGCCATCGAGCATAGAGTCAATATGGAATGGGGTTCGAACCCACTATAATTTAATCGTTATGCAAGCAGATTTTCTTTAACCTTCAGATTTTTCTTTCTTGGTGGTAGTTTGCTCAAACATGCAAAAAAAAATCATTATTAATAAGTAATAAAACGCATTTTAGCCATTAAATTCTTTATACAATCGAATTTCAATTACAGATGTAAAGAACACCAAATGTAATGTTTAGAGTTGGCATAAAAATTAAGATGAACGTGTTCGAACGCAATATATTCATGAATAAACCAAAAAATAACGTTACAACGTTATTTTTACAGATTTTATATCAAAATATCATGTTTTATGATTTCATTACTCTACCGGATTTATTCTTGATTGCCTTAGCATAGAAAACGAATAGGAAATCGAAGAGATCGAAATACCGATTACTAAGATCATCGAGCCTAGAACCAAGATGGAGGAAGTTTGAGAGAGTCAGATTTTTATAATATATAAGGAAGTCGAAACACGTTGTTGGTGCAAAAATTTTAGGGTCTTAAAAAATTATAATTTTCTACGTTTGGCTTAGTTTCATGTTGGTTGGACACTCAATAAATATCGAAAATATGGATAATTTTCAAATATAAAATGCATAATCGATGGGTTCGAACTGCAATATAGTCATCATATCACACATAATAACTTCTAAGTAAAAAATTGTTTCCTTTTCGTGTATTTTATGCAAAAACATTATTATTTTTAAGGCTCTGTTACTATTAGGCTACTAGTTTCACTTACATTCACCATACCTTATAGATTATAGAAAATCGAAACAATAAAAGAAAAAATAAAGAATTGATTTCTGTAATACTTAAACCAAAAAATATAAAATGCAGCAAAAGATTCGGACCGTTATGTCCTAGATATTTTAAATAATAAAAGTGAAGAGTCATCCGTTTCTGCTAGCTTCACATTAATAATCACTTTATGCACTGTAAGTTTGCCAAAATGATTAGTTACAGTTATAAAATTTATCATTTTGACAAGCCAAGTTTACCGAAAGTAGGATATAATATATTTTCATGGTTTAATTACAGGATGACGAAGTGGACATGTATTTGGATCTTCACACTCACACTTCGCTGCTCGGCACATTTGTTTATGGTAGCACTTTCGACGATGTCTATCGTTTCCAACGTCATACACTTTTTCCCAAGCATCTAGGCAATTGGACTGACGATTTTTCAGTTCAGAATACCATCTATAACCGTGATCCTAGTAAATCCGGAACTTCGAGAAGGTAAAGTTTTAACTCATCAAAGTTCTCTTTAATGAGACTAGAGTTTTTTTTTTTCGTTTTTAGTTTGCGTTTTCGTAATAAATTTTTATAGCAGAGTGGAATTTAGAGTGCATTCTGCATTTTAACTGAGACGGTACTCTCAGAAAAACTATTGCAGACATCCTGTCTTCGTCTATAGGAGAAAAAATGGCGCCGATCGTCAGCAGAAAACGTCCGAGTTTTGAAAGTCACCCGGAACAAATCGAAGCATTGCCTTCCTGGCACCTCTATTAAGCACTTAACACGATCCATAACCACTGACGGATATCCGTGATTGAATTAGTTTGAACGATGTTATAATTAGGCAAATTTGCAGCAGTGTTTCTGTACATCGTTGACTGATGATGCACCATAGCTTATTATTACAGTTCATAATCGATTCCCGCTAATTATCTGGAGCGAATTAAAAATGGAAAAATGGCAAAAAATTTTTCTACTTTTTGAAAAAAAAATATATTATCCACCTTATTTTCGATCGAAACATAAAAGAGAAGCGGAATGTGGGGCATTTTCATCGATACAAAAGTTAAACTGAAGAATGCGATCCGTCTGTAAGGTAGAGAGAGAGAGATGCTGATTGATGGATTAGCCATCTTTTCTCTATGTTCTGTTTCCGGTCCATAGCAAATTGCACAGACTGCAGTCAAACACTTTTATGTTTCTTTTAAATAGTAACCAAGTTGGAATCAATTTCCGATAGAAAATGCCTGCTTTCTATTGGATTTTCCTTTTCCTTTTATTCTTGTTTATATCGAACCAAACATTCCGAAAGAGAATTTCTGCTTTTATATTAGAATTACAATCCAGCTACCGTACTAATAATCGCCTACGTAAGGAAACCATAAAAATTATCGATTGAATGCTTAAATTGTCTTATTAAAAATTTAAATTTTGTCTGGAAGAGCGTTAGCCATTTGGAGTTAATCGTCTTTGCCAGGATGGAAAAGTCAAACAAGGCAAGAAGCTCCAACAAGATTATTCACGGTCCACAAGCCACATGGTCAAATAATGAGAAGAGGGAGTTGTAATGTCCACGTTTGTCCACACGAGAGAGGGAAGCTGTTTACTCATGGTTTCTGTCAACATCAATCTAAAAAGTTCTCATGATTAAGCTGGATCTATCAAATACTAAAAGGATACCATAAAAAATTATTTCTACTGTAAAATAACCCCTGGACAATTTTCTAAATTTTGATCCCATCACACAATGCACTCAATTTGCATATCTACATTATAATCTTCATCTTTTTTTTTTCTAAAAATAAATCTTCTGCTCCTCCATATTGAATATTTTGATTAAATTAATACATTTTGTATCATTTATTATATCTATCTATTCATTAAAAAAAGAATACCTTCTTCTAAAATGCTTTCTAAAATTAATTCCAATAGTGATTTAATTATTGAAAGCTAAGAGTTCTGACAAAAATAATTCTACAGAGGATCGATTTTATTATTTTATGCCATTTATCACTTTAAATTCAATTTTCTTTGCTTATAGATAGGGGAAGTTTGCAAAGTTGGATATGAAGGAATTGACATTAAACATATGCAGATGTTTATCAGTGATAAAATCCATCTAATATGCATTTGTAGAATGGTAAAATTTATTATAAGAAGACATTTTTAATTGAAAAAATATATATATTTTGTTGTAAAAATGATTGTATGGTTACTATTATTGTGCATAAATCATTTGGGAAGAGATTTCAGTAGATAAAAAGAAAAAATTCTGAAGCTACTATGTTAACTTTAATTTCCTTTTGGAATTATTCAGACAAATTTAAGTGCTTGTCTTGAACAGAATTGGAAGGAAATTCTATTTCTAATTAAAAAGATAAGCAGCAAAACTACTTTTATTTAATTACTTGCAAGGAAACCTAAACAATTAATTCAATTTGATTGATTTTCATTTATTTGGATTTTTTTGGTGCTCTTTTGTTGCAGTAATTTTATCGCATATAGAAGATTATAATGGAGATAAATATTCTTAATTGAAAAGTTTGGAAATTGGTCTGCTTTAATGTTTAAAACTCGCTAATTATGAGAAATAAATTGTAGGTTTTTTTACTAGCTAAATTTTGATTGTATCAAAGATAAACTTTTGAAGGGATATCAAATGAGAAATTTAAAAGTCATGAAGCAGGAAGTGTCTTAAAAGAAGTATGAATATTTATATTCAAGTATTTTGGAGATATTCAGAATTATTTAAAAGTCTCTAGTTCATATAAAAATCAATGAATAATATATTAAACTTATTTTTAAATCATTATTATTCTTTAAATGTTTTTAATATATGTTCAATCAGATTTATAATAACTTTAAAAATGATATATGAAGTACTCTTCTTATGAAATACTTCAAGCTTAATTTTATATAAAATTAAGGTTGGGAGGGTTAAATAGCATGTAAAAATTTTCTTATAATATTTTAATAAATGCATGCTCTAAATAATCTATATAAAACTATAACAAAATTCTTCAATTGCAAACATTTTCTTTTAATATTTTCTACATTTTAAAGTTAAATTATGCTATAACATTTGCTTATTTACATGAACAAGTGATGTAAGGTACCCTAAAAAGTAACCCTGAAAGGGATTTGAAAGAATGTGGTTAAAAATAGATTGAAGTTACTTTCTGATTTATATTTATTAGAAAGAAACAGGAACTTATTACTGGTTCTTTCTAGTAAAATGCAATTGTACTTTACTGTATATAAATTATTTATGAAGAAAAATTGCCTGAACTATTTATTTTCTGACTTAAATTAATAAATAGAATCGTTCTTTTATTCTATCGCTTAAAAGATTTAGTCAGTATTCAAGAAAATAAATAAAATATTCTCACAAAATTCTTGTGCTTTCATTATTATTATTATTATTTCAAAATGATTTTCTTTTAATTATTTTTAAAATTTAATTTAATTAATAAGGTGAACATTGAAGTATAAATTTTCATAAATGAGTTACAGAAAAAAAATAATAGAAAAAAAATTGTAGTATTGTTAAAAAAAGAATCAAATTAATTTTTAAGATTAAATAAAAATGATGAAATAAGAATAGAAAAGAAAAATTTGTAATGAAAGAGAGAGAGAGGGAGAAATATTAAATTCAATATTGATTTCGTTTTGTAGATTTTTTACAAATATGCTACCCAGCAAGGCCAATTGTTACACTCTAGAAGTAAGTTTTTATGGTTACAGAAGTAAACAAGATCCTTCTAAAGCTGTGACGGCTTACACGGAAGATAGCTGTATCCTACAGTATTATATTGAACAGAAAATAATTTTGTTTTTTTCTTTCTATTTTTTTTATCTTCTGATTCTTGCCTTAATATTAAAAACAGATATTAAATTAGGTGAAAATATTGCTTGGGCCCTATTGGATTATTACGTTGCAACTGGTTATATATCAAGTGGGTCTGTTCCTCCGGGCATCAAAGTAGGTAAGAGAGGTCTGGTGGTGGAAAGTTCTCGTAAAGTGCTTAACCGAAAATAACACTTCCACTTTTGTGCACAGATTTGAACATAAGCTACCGCCATTCTCACTAACAATCTACCATATGAGAGGTTATAAAATACAAGCAATAAATTTGACACCATAAACTTCTATAAAATTGTAATTGCAAATGTTATTTGTGTCTCAATTAAACTTTATTGACAATTTTGAGAATTTTTTTTTATTGCAAACTCTCCATGAAAACTCTTTGTTGGGAACATATTTCAGATTGTATAAAATTTATTTGAATCTTATTTTTTTGGAAATCGATTGTCAATTTAATATTTTTATATTAACTTATTATATAAGTAATTTTATTTTATATATTTGATGATGCTATTTTATTATATGTCAACCAAATAAGCAATTTTTATAAAGATGACATTTTTGTCATTTATTGTTTTATAAATAATCTCACTTTGAAGAACAAAATGACAAAATGGATGTGCAAGGATACAGAACATGTTAACAAAATTTGAATATGAAACAAGTGGTATGTATAAATTATATTCTTTGAATGGAAATGTTCCATTTTGTTGCAAACTACTGTTGATTTATTCAAAGATTGATTCAAAAACTGTTACATGTTGACATTCTTTTGAAATGTTTCTTTCCTGCTTTGAAAAAAATAATAATAAAAATCTTTCCTGTGCATGAAGTTTATTCATTTATTTTCTTTTAAAATTGATAAATAATATAAAATAACTATAATGATTATTATTACTATACGATACAAGAAAATAAATAATTTTCTTTTAAAAAAAATATCATTACCGAGTGAAAATTTAATTGAAGAATAATCAGATTTGTATTAATAATGTAATTAAAAAAGATGAAAACATGAACATTTTAAATTGTATAATAAAAAGTATGACAGAAGGTAAATAAAACACTTTTGTAAATCTTTACAAGAATCTAAACATTGTTTTCTTTATTTAAATGAAATTTTTTTAATGATATGTTATAAAAAGTAATTCAAAATGTTTTAGATTTTTGATATTTTCATTTAAAATAATAAAATAATTAATATATTAATTATTTGTCTTTGAAAAATTTTAAAATATTTGATTCTTGTAAAATTGAGAAATTAAATTTTCTGTACTTTTTTTATAAATATATGAAAGGAAGCAAATTCTAAATGCATAAATGAACAGAACCAAATGTTAAATTGCATTATTAATTATTGATAAAAATTAATATAATAGATTATTATCTACTTATATATAATTATTAATTCATGAAAATTTATAATTGTTATGTGTATGTTTATAATCATATTTAAGTTGATTGATTTATAAGAATATATATATAAGTAATCTAATTAAGCAACTTAACTAATTAATTATGATTTGTTATACTCAATAAAGAACAAATATAATACGAATTAACCTCAATAATAAATTTATAAATGTTTTATATTAATAAAAAAAAATTGTTTTGATAACTTAATATGCTGAATAATAATGCCTAAAAAGTTCAAGTTTTCTGCAATAACTTTCCATGTAATTATTGATACGAGATAAAATTTATCCATAAATTTTATAAATATTAATAATAAAGTTATTAATTATGAAATGAATATCAAGTTTATATTCAATGTTAAAATTTAATAATTATATTAGTAATTATAATACATTAGTTCAATTTGTCAAAGGATGGCTGTACATTAGTGTGCAATATAATGCAAAAGTATGTTAAGTAATTCAGAAGAGAATTTATGTTGGTATATACATGCATTATAATTGTATTTTGCACTTTAACATGTAATTTTTTTAGTAAAATTGCAAGATTTATTAAAAAAAATAATAATAATAATTTTCTTAAATGGCATTATTTTGATACTAATTAAAAATATGTTATAGAAATTATTAACTTTGCATTTATTAATCTTTAAATAAAATCAATTTCAATACATTTTTACATGAAATACTTATTTGTTTAAATATACTTCTAAATATTATAAATGCCATTAACATGATACAAATAATTTATTAAATAAATGCCTAAAATTTAAACCTTACCTTCATAATTATTACATTTGACAGAAATTATTAATTTAATGGTGTATCCCATCTTGAAAATAGATACGGTTCTCATCTCTCCAAAGTATTCCGGGAATAAAAGGCAATGCAATATCACGTGTCATTAACTTTGAGGAATCCGCAATACTCGTTCATCAATAGTTTTAGCTAGAAAAGTTAAAGTTCTAAGCAAAATAATAGAAAAGTTTATCAACATTTTCTGATGAAACTTGGTATTTGATATATATATAAAAAATTTTTTTTTAATTTTAACTGTTTTTATATTGATCTCCAAACTACCCAAGAGTCTTTAGTTATAAAATACTACTGACCAAAGAAACATATTTTTATAATTATAATATATATAAAATAAATTAC